TTATATAGTTTAAGAGGCCAGCTTGAGCTTGCTATTTTTTCTAGAACCTTGACTAATATTGTCAATAAGCAGCCTTAGATTTTCCTGTAGATTATTCTATTTAAACTTACTTTTATCACATGTAATAATATGTAATACATGATACATGATATATATAGATTCTCCTTAATTTATAATGGGGTTATACTGCAATAAACCCATCATAATTTGAATATATTTTATGACTGAATAGTATTTTATTTTATGTATGTACCACATTTCATTCATCTGTTGATGGACACGTAGGTTGCTTCCAAATCTTAGCTATTGTAAACAGTGTTGCAACAAACACAGTAGTGCTCATATCTCTTCTGTATACGCTTTTCTTCCTTTTGGATATATACCCAGCCATAGAATTGCTGGATTATGATGTGGTTATTACACATTGCATGCTTGTACCAAAACATCTCATATACTCTATAAATATATACACCTACAGTGTATCCATAAAAAAATTTAAAAAGAAACAAATCTATTGAAAACATTTTTCAATATTTTGAAGGCATTGTGCATGAGCAGGACAATGAATAATGCAGCATCTAAAGTAATGATGCAATTAGCATGAAATAAATGGAATCTGGAAATGCAAGGTTAAGAAAATTTAGATTGTCCTCAAGATACATGACATTGTTAATAATAATAGTATTGCAGACATTATCACCTTACCAGGGGTTGATCTTGGCTTTGCTTCCATTGTAAATCAAGGAAATTACTGAATACATATACTTTCAAACTATTCTAAAGTCAAAAAATTTTCCAAATGAACCATTGCAAATCAAAGATCATCTGTATATTTATATATATACATCAATATATAAAAACATTTATAAGTATATATAAGTTTACTGGTCTTATTGTTTATTTTGTCATAGGCAGTTTTATCTTTGAATTCTAATTTCTTAAGGCTTCTGAACTACATTCACATATACTTCAAAGTAGCTGATTTTGTAGTTGTTGGAAAAGAATAATACATACTTCACAAACGAATATTTTCAAATGGCCCATAATAACTAAAAATATACTCTAAATCATTATTAGTTATTAGAGAAATAAAAATTAAAACTGCAATGTGATAATGCTTTTTACTCACTTGAATAGCTAAATTCAAATGACTGATAACACCAAGTGTTGGTGAGAATGTCAAGCAATTGGGATTTTTGTGTTTGGTTGGTAGGAGTGTAAAATGGCTAAATCACTACGGAAAACTTGAAAATTTTCTTCAAACTTAGCACCAGAAAAATAGTAAAGTCTGTAGTCATCTGGAATTTTAATAAGTTTTTTGGGAAACCAGGATAATATAGCAAGGCTCTGACTGATGTAGGAGTTAGGGATCAATAACCAGTTGAATTGACCAATGCTGGAACATATTCAAGAAGATATTGTATCTGAATTAAACTTCATGGAAGTTTAAGTTACACTGAATTATGTCTGTTCCCAAAGTGGTTGTGGTTAACACAAAGTTAGAGATAAACAGCACGAATAGTCTCACACTTACTGTCCCATAATAGTCTATGAACTAGACTGGTTTCTACATTCAGTAAAATACCTTGTGATACATAAAGGGTTCCCAAGGAGAAGGATTGTTTGACAGGGTGAGCAAGATTTGTGGAAAATGGCATTGCCTTCGAATATTCTATATCAGTAGACTATAATTAACTCTGGCATTGATATCTTTTTTAGTGAAAATAAATAATTCAAGATCAAAGCTGTTGAAACTTTAAATTATTCTGATCCTTAAAAGGCTGTGATTTATGGGACCTGAGTCACTAAGAGATAGCTGTAAGCTAGGAATTTGTAGTATTTGTTTCCCTGATTATAAATTAAATTAGTCTTTTTCCATTACCTACATTGTTTTGTTTTGTTTTGTTTGTTTTGTTTTGTTTTGTTTTGTTTTTGAGTTGGAGTCTTGCTCCATTGCCCAGGCTGGAGTCCAGTGGAATGCTCTCAACTCACTGCAACCTCCACCTCCCAGGATCAAGCAATTCTCCTGCCTCGGGCTCCCCAGCAGCTGGGATTACAGGGGCCTCTCTCCACACCCAGCTAATTTTTGCATTTTTAGTAGAGATGGGATTACTCCATGTTGGCCATGCTGGTGTCAAACTCCTGACCTCAGGTGATTTGCTTCCCTCTGCCTCTCAAAGGGCTGGGATTACAGGTGTGAGCCACTGCGCCCACCTACCTACGTTGTTTTACAGAATGTTGTAAAAGACTACCAGATAAGATCCTTTCCCTCTTTACTTTAGATCTTCGTTATTGATTAACTTCCTTTTTCCTTGTCTTAAACGAAGACCTTATGACTATTACATTGTCAAAGATAAAATGTTGAAAATACTAATTTAAACTGGAAAAAGGAAACAAACAAGCTATAATTAATCAATTTACTGTAACTCATAAATCAACTTTGTATTGGACAATCTAATTCTGCTAAATTCCTTTGTTTTCTGCCTGTATAAGTAAAACCTTAACTTTTTAACTTTGGGGCATTGACCTCATTTCTTTGGATTCTGTGTTTCCCAGATGGCCATCCTTAGCTTTGCACTTGAATAAACACTTATAGTGGATTCTCAACCTATATGTTATTTCAGGTTGACATGTCTTTTGTCACCATTTCTCAATTATATTTATCTTTTGTGTCTTTTTTCTTCTAATCATATCTTACTTGCTTGTTATTAAGCCTGTGTGTAGATGCATTTAATATTCTCATGCACTGGCAAATTCATGCCATATTTATCAAATAAGAATAAGCAAGTGTATATACATACACATATGCACAGCTTTGTATACAAACCATTACTTAAACTGCAAACCAATTATTCCCAGAACATTAGGGCCATGCTCCAGGTCCAAGGCAGTAATATTTTGACACAGACTGCAGTAGTAAAGTGGAAAGTTATAAACTGGGAAAGCAGAGGCCAAATGCAAAAATTTATGCAGGATCTCCTCTAGGATGTGTGGTGCCTGGGACCACTGTGCGGTATGAACAACTGAAACAAACTGTATGAACAATTTGAAAAAGATATGTATTAAAAAGTTCATTGACCTGTGTAATATACAGTATAGTAACTTATCTATGAAGGTTTAGGATTATGGATAAAGCATTAATTGTATATTTGGTTGTTGTCTAGTTGCTGTATATAAAGATTCTTAATTGTGTCCAGGCAACTTTCTCTTTCTGTTTAGTTCCATGGACTATCCATATTTTTTTTATTGTCACAACAGGCTATTTCTGGCCATCTAATTTCTGCTGTCACAAACAGAAGGTATCAAAATTGTTATGATCAACAATGCCATGGATTTTCAGAACCAGATATATCTTTTTGCCTCTTGTATTTCCACATTGCAATTATTTAATGCTAATTGCATCATTACTTTGTTGGGTTACACACCCACACAAACACACACACACACACACACACATTTTCTGCTTCATTAGGGATGATCACAAATACCAGGATTAACCTGTGCATTCTTGAAAATGCGAATGATATTTTTTTTCTGTTCTTGTTAAATTTATTGTTTGGAACTTTATAGTATAAATGTAGAAGGACATTATGTTCTAATCATTTTAATTATTTAGACCCTAATCAATGCATTTCCAGAAGGTGATCTCTTTCAATGCTGACTACACTGGCTTTCTGTCACACAGTGATACCAGTTTGGATTGTGAGTGACGCACATGTGCACAGAGCAAGAATATATCATTCATGCAAGGAATGCCCATACCTCATCTACAGTTATTTAATACCGATAAGAGAGCATAATATTGCTATATCATTTGGAGATAAAACAGGACATAGATTGAAAGTGCCTGGGGGTATTGCAGAGCTACAGTCTCAAAGGGTTTCAGAGTAGGCAGGTATAGCCCCTTCTGTGGGAATGCCTGACAGGTGGTATAGAGCCTGCAGAGAGGATGGGATGATCAATCAGTATGCCAGTGCCAGTGTAATAAGGTAAAGGATGTCTGCTGCTCCCACTGCCAGCCACTGCCAGTGGGTATTGTAGCTAGAGGGCAGCATGAGGGTTTAAACACAGATGGGTGAGAGCTAGTGTATATCCCTAACATATCTCAAGCCCAAGGTTCAGCAGTGAAATATTGGTAGAACAGAGTCCTCAGTTTGTTTATCCTATATTTGATATGAGTGAGAATCACCTCAAATCAACATGTCAACACCCTTCTGGTCTCATCTTGTTTGACTTCATGAAAGAAAACTACTGTCCAGAGTGATTTTATCTGTTCACCAACCGACTCTTCTGAAACCAGGTTCCAGCCATGGGCTTCCAGGACAACTTGATAGACATGGATCACAGAGTTCCTTAGGACAAATGGCTGACTTCACAAGCTGGTGAGTACAGGATGAAGAGAGTCATATAATTCTTTGAATAGAACAATTAGGGGCACAGGTGTTTGGTCCAGGGTCAGTGCACCTCATCTCAACAACACTGCTGTTCTCAGCTGGTTGAGGAAGCTAATCCAAAGAACAGAGGTCTCCTGAGAGATTCCAGTACAGCGACTCTGCTCAGCCCTAAGTGTGATGTTGCAGTTTGATTATGAACCATTTCAGGCCCAGCATTATAGTGTACTCCCATCTATACTCTGGATACTATTATGCTTATATTAATTTTTTCCACTCTATCAATATATTTAACCAGGAAGTTGCTTTATACAAGTCGCAGATCCTTTCATATCACTGAGAGAAGAAAAAACTTTGTCTTTATTTAGCATGTTTATATATGGTACAGCTATTGAAGGCCTGGATGCTGGTCTTTGCTTACCACTCCGTACCATGGACCACAGAGATGAAGACCGTGTTGATTTCAGCTACTCTTTATTACTATACTACATGCACCTGCACTCAGTTTCTGCAGTCTCCCTCTTCTCATTACCAACACTAAACCCAGGCTACTCCATCTACCTCCCATTTTACACATACACACACACATATATATATCTCCTATTAGTTCAAAGGAGAGTTTATTAAGTATTCACTCATGATCACAAGGTCCCACAATAGGCCATCTGTAAGCTGAGGAGCAAGGAGAGCCACTCTGAGTCCCAAAACTGAGGAACTTGGAGTTCAATATTTGAGGACAGGAAGCATCCAGCACAGGAGAAGAATGTAGGCTGGGAGGCTAGGGCTATCTAGTCTTTTCACATTTTTCTGCCTGCCTTATATTCTAGTGACATTGGCAGCTGATTAGATGGTGCCCACCCAGATTGAAGGTGAGTCTGCTTTTCCCAGCCCAATGACTCAAACGTTAATCTCCTTTGGCAACACCCTCACAGACACAACCAGGATTAATACTTCGTATTCTTCAATCAAATCAAGTTGACACTCAATATTAGCCATCACAAAGAGAGAGAGCGAGAAAGAGCAGGAATCTGAAAGAAGAAAAGGAGCAAAAATGGCAGTAACAGCCGGACTGAGAGAGCATTAAAATAAACATGGGAGTCAAATATTTTGCAGATAAAAGACAAAATTTTGGTTTCTTTAAAGAATAGAAAGCTATGGAACAGACACTGCTGCTGGATTATAGCTTATTTTGTTCATTTATAAAAAGATTTATCTGATCAGTGTCCTTCAGGATCTAAATTCATCTAGAGAGAAGACATATGGAGAAAATGGAGCTACCTCTCACCCTTGTTTGCAAGCAATTCTACTCTAAAGCCACCTCAACCTTCAGCACAGTTACCTTCTCCGTTTTCTGTAGCTTTTTTCCAGGTACATGGAGGGAAGTGGGAGAAATGGTCAGCAAAGGTAGCTTCGTGTTATCTGTCAACACTAAACCACTTCTAGTCAAAATGAAAAAATCTGACAAGCATGACCATTACAGAAGGTTAAAAATGGAGCTCAGATGATGATTATTTGGGTTGTATATGGCTATATTTATCCAAACTGTATCACAGAATTATTTTTTCTGTACAAATATTTTCACAACCTGCTCTCGGATTTGCTTGGTCCTGACTCCATAAATGACAGGGTTAAGGGCAGGTGGGACAACCACATAAAGGTTAGCCAAAAGAATATGGATATAGTGGGGAATGTTTTGGCCAAAACGATGTGTCATAAAAGAAAAAAATGCCGGTGTGTAAAAGCACAGCATAACACAAATATGGGAACCACAGGTGTTGAAGGCCTTTAGTCGGGCATCTTGAGAGGGAAGGCGAAAAACAGCTCGAAGGATAAATATATAGGAAGAGGCAATCAGGATAACATCCACAATGATATAAGAAATCACCACGAGCCCATAGATTATGTTGATCTTGATAGGTGCGCAGGCCAACCGGGCCAGACCCATGTGCTCGCAGTATGTGTGAGGTACGATGTTATGCCCACAGAATGGCAGGCGCAGAATGAGAAACACAAATGGAGTTACAAGAACTAAATTTCTTCCAACAACCACAGAAGCGAGGATACTGATGTTTTTACTGGTGAGGATCATGGTGTACTGGAGAGGGTTGCAGACGGCAACAAAGCGGTCGTAAGCCATGACCACCAACAGAACAGTCTCCATGCCTGTGAACATGTGAATAAGGAACATCTGAAGCAGGCAGCCCCCAAAGCTGATCTCTTGGAGGTTGAACCAGAAGATTCCTAGCATTTTGGGGATGGTGGATGTGGACAGACCGAGATCAATCACAGACAACATGGCCAAGAAGTAGAACATGGGCTGGTGTAGACTGTGTTCAGTTTTGATCACAAAAAGAATGGTCATATTCCCCACAATGGCAATCAGGTACACAATACAGAATGGGAAAGCAATCCAGACGTGCAAAGTTTCCAGTCCTGGTATTCCTAGCAGGAAGAAGCAATGGGGATAGAAGTGGGTGTCATTGATAGAAGGCATTCTCCTGGCAAGTGTTACTGAATTCCTAACTAAGAAGGATCTCACTTTCTTTAAGGTCATCCCTTGTCAAAGTCCTGTAGGAACAGAAAGACTCTTATCAGTGTGCTGGAGGTAATGGTATAGGTGGTTAATTTACAAATATTAGAGATTTACTTCTTTCGGAGGGTAATTGAGAAAGCCTCTTAACAGATTATTGTTCTGAGATCCAACATAGGCAATATTGCTCATGGCTTTATTTTTTTTAATCTTTGAGATATTCAAATGAACTGGAAATATTTCACAATGCAATGCATATTTATAGTATGGCATTCCTTTCTATTACTTTCCTAAGTAGTCCTTCTTTACTTTTGGGGAAATCACCATACCATGTGTTCTTCAAAGTGTGGTCTTGAGGTCTCTGGGGTTTTCTAAGTACCTTTCTGGTACTTACAAGCTCAAAACTATTTTTATAATAATAGAAAATTTTTAGCCATTCTCACTTTCATTCTCTTATAAGTACACAGTGACATTTTCCAGAAGTTATATGAGGTGTTACCATAATAGATTAAATAAAATTATAAATGACATTATGAGATTTCAGCTCTATTAACTTAGTAAAAACAGTTGCAAAGGAAAATAATGCAAAGTTTACAACTAATTTTCTGAAAAATAGTTATTTTAACAAAAAGTATCAAATTATGTTTTTATATAATAGTTTGTTAATATTTTAACATTAAATATTTAAATTTTGCTCTAATGTCTAATAATATAAATATTACAAATATAATATTAGAAATTAAAACTCTTTTGGTATCTTACTAATTTCTAAAAGTGACAAAGATTCCTAATACAAAGGAGAACTTCTATTGTCTCCCACTTCCTATGTTTTGTTATAATATAAGTGTAAGGATATGTCTCATGGATCTTATACAGAGACATTGCATAAGGATAGTTAATTAGAGAGTCTCTGTTAGAATTTTCCTGATTCTAACTCAGCTAAATTGTTCAGTGCATTTCTATTATGGATTAATTGCTATTTTTGATACTTCTAAATCTTCATGAACAATACAGTTTTTCCAATAAATGGAAATAAAATGCCTTGCGTGTATCTGCCAAATTATGTTTATCTTTCGTACAATCTATAACATCAACGAGTAACATAAAAAAAATTCCATGTCCCCAAATTGTGCCTAGCTTCAGGTGTAAAAAGATCAAATATTTAGCAAATTTTAATATTGAAATTAAAATGTTTTTAAGGAATCTTCATTGCCTCCTTGACAATAACAAGAAAAATTGCCTTATTTTAGCTTTGTGTCCTTAAAGACATTGTGCAACTCTGTAGTAACTAATGTAACCTGGATTGTGTAATATTTATGCATGTACTGGCCTTATTTCTACAAAGAGGATAGCTGCAACTAAAAGCTGAGAACCAGTGGTAATAATTTTAATATGCTCAACACTGCCACATGAATTTTGGTTGCCAGTTGTTCAGCATCTAATTGAATCAGGATTGGGGTTTGTAATAAGTGCGCTTTTGTTTGTGTGTAAGTATGTGTGACAGACAGAGAGAGAGAAAGAGAGAAGGTTGGAGAGATAGGAGTAGAGAGAGAAATCATGTTTTACTATGTGCATGGCTGCGTATACCAGTTGTCCTGTAACTTTGCCAGTTAGCTATTGCACAGCAGAAGTACGCAGGCAAAGGGGTTAATAATTTCCCATTCTATACGGGAAGAACAAGAACATCTCTTGCTCCCAGAGAAGCTGAGAGAAAAATTGAAATAAGAACATAATGTTTGCTCGTATTTTGGGAAATAAACCAGGCTGAAACATCAGTGGGCAGTGGTTTTTGTGATTTCACCTAGAAGAGTGTGAGGACATAGCTAGGATGATGTGCTGTGAGATTTACAATCCAGAGTCAGCCCAGTCTTAAGAGTGGCTGTTTCTCAACATGATACTTTGCCAGCTGAGAAAAAACATTCTCAGGGAGATGGCAAAGGGGACGCTTCGCTGACACTACAATTCAAAGCTGCCAGGGGATCCACCCTTTCACGGTTTTACCTGAATTCTTGTGTTCTTCCTGTTATAACTGTATGCCACAGTAGCAGACAGTGTATGGCCAATAACCTCAAGATCATTTTTTGCGGGCAAAGTATTAAGTTTATTCTTCTTTAGATATGTACATTGACAAAGATCCCTGCTGAAGTCCATCTCAAAAGACAAATTCATAATAACTAGCAATTTCTCTCTTTTTGTGCTCACCAATGTTCATATTTTGAACTTGTGATTTTTTTTTTCTTTGCTGGATTTTTTTTTCTGACTTTAGTAGTATATTACAGAGGTCTTCTCTGGACCTTAAAACTATTCAGACATGGCTTGAAAACCTCCTAAACCACTTACTTGCTTGAGGCCCTTGGACAATTTCTTTAACTAGGTAGATCAGTTTTTTTTTCCTGTAGAAATGAAATGATAAATTATAGCTAATGTCGTTTATTTTAATGATAAATAAGACCATTGTTTGCATAGGTGCTAGTACATAGTGTATCCTCAACAAATTATAGTTACTTATTTTATTAATTCTCCCAGATATTTTATTTATTTAATTCAAGATAGCTAAAATAATTCACCTGTTAGCAGAAAGAAGTATTTTATTTTAAAAAGTTTAATTTATGTCACAGTTGAACATAAGATTAGATAAAGGAGAGATGGCTCAGAAGAGACCAAAGTGAAGAAATGGCACAGAGCCAAACATTAATATTTATCTCTAGATTTTTTATGGATACAAATATGACCCAATACTGCTCATTTAGAAAGGAAACAATTTTCTCCCTTTATTCTTACAGCTTTCCCAAGCTCAATGAATGGATAAAGTGGATAAAGACCTTCATTCAGGCTCTTCCATAATGGTGCCATTGAAGGTTGGGGTCTGGCTGATTTAGCAGGGGTATTGTGCTTACGGTAAAAATGGCTTGGGTATGGTTCCATAAAGTCGTAACTATACAGGGAACCAACTTATAACGTGCAACATTAAATTCACTCAATGTGGGAAAGAGAGAATAAAACTGTACAGATCAAATGTGTTAATTCCCCTTGTAATTTTATTTGAATATTGGCAGAAGTGACACCTACCCACTACTTTAAACATCCACATATAAATGAAGTCTGCCATAACATCCTTTTGTCTTACTGACACTTATGACTGTATTTGTGGTGTTCTGGTTGTGAACAGTGGACTCTGTGAGTGTGTGTGTGTGTGTGTGTGTGTGAGAGAGAGAGAGAGAGTGTGTGTGTGTGCATGTAGGAGAGAGAGGGGAAAAGGGGGGTGGGAGAGATAGAGATAGAGAGAGAGAGAGAGAGAGTTAGAGAGAGAGAGAGAGAGATACAGAGATACAGAGATACAGAGACAGATAGAAATTCGGTGCATTACTAACTGGTATACCACTGCCCTCACCTACGGATGTCTGTTCCAATCCCATATGCTCTGCTGTGTTCCTCTGTGAAGAGGATGGTGCAGTGGTGCTTGGGATAATTCTTCAGAAAAGTGGAAGAACCTAGCCTCTTCTATTCCTCATTTGCCTTCTTCTTTACTCTATATCTTCTCGCTTCTGCCCAAGCATTCTTACCTTTCTAATATTTCTTCTCCCAGCCTTCACTTGGAGCAGAATTGCAGCATGAGCCCAGGTTCTTAAGGACAGCAATTAGTTTCACCTTCAAGCCTCTGAGCAACGAACCTGCCTGGTAACGTGGAGAAAACTTTATGGTGAGTGAGAGCGTCCTTATGACCAAGCATGTCCCAGAATCCCTGAGCCTAGCCTTCAGAGTCCTCTGGGCATAAACATGGATTCGAGGGTCATTAAGTCTTAGTAAGTCTTTATTCCTCTTTACTGCATCTGCAGAGAAACAGCATGCTAGATATAACTCCTTAGCTCAGGGGAGCAGATGTGTTATGAAATGATGGGATGGGAACTATCCAGAAGAGAAAGGAATCTGTTTGGGGGATGATGGTAATTCAGCTTCCCTCAGGAGCCATGAAAGCATTGATTTTATACCATTAAGTCTTCACTGTGTGACTATGAAAATAAAACTGTTCTCAGCAACTTTTCTGTTTTAATATATTTGTGTAAATCCTGATGTAGTTTCACAACGGTTACAATTGAGACTTCAAAAGATGAAGGAGAAGACATCTTAAATAGACAAATCCAAGAAGGGAGCCTCAGGAAACACTACTTCTGCTCTGGCTGGAAGGGACAATATAATATGTTTTACCAGGAAAATGTAACATTTTCCTTTGTGGCACAACTCTGTTTATTGGCAGTGTGCATGCCTGCAGATAATAGCAGCAACTTTCTTCCAATCCAGCAAAATTTTCCTTCTTAGTCTATAACTAATGGTGAATAGATACAGTCTTTGGAGAGAGGCTTGCATGTGTTTCAGCTCTTTCGGAAGAAGGTGAAGAAAATTCCACATTTTCCTGATAAACATATTATATTGTCCCTTCCAGCCAGAGTAGAAGTAGTGTTTCTTGAGAGGCTCTCTTCCTGAATAATGATAGAATGGATCTGATAATACTCCCAGGGCATGCTACGGAGCCTGGATATTCTGACTGTAGTTAGAAATAGACTGACAGAAAATTGAATACATTAGACAATTAGTTGGTACCTTGTGCCTTCTAAGTTCAGACTATTTTGAGTTGTTAGCACAGAAATAGTAATGTCATCTGTGGTCCAAGAGAGATTCTGGTTTGATCTGCCATGTTCTTGTACTCATTACTTCTCTTGATTAACGAGAAAGTGGCTCCCTAGTTTTCTGATTCTCCTTCATCGTGCCCATCTTCCTTACTGTATCCACATTCATCTTCCCAAATCGAGTCTGACTCTACTCAATTTCTGCTTAAAATTCCTTTCCATAACCCCTACATTCTCCATTGCATACTGCAGACTTTACAAACACCCCTGTTGCCAAAGTCCTTCACCCAGTATCCAATCAGCCTTTTATACTTCCATTGTACTCCACGACTCCTGAACACACATCCTGTCTTTGATAATCAAAAATCTCCATAATAATAACTATCTCTCATTTCCACTTTGCTTCAGCACTTTCTCAATTGTCCTATACTTCTTAGTGATCTTTTACATGAATCAATCTGATAGACTCTTCGTGTCTTTTGCGTTTTCATATCAGTTTGTGCCACTATTATAACAGGCAACTTTTTGTGTGTGTTGGTTTTGTGTTTTCTGTCTTCCATTATTTTGTGGATTGATATTACAGTGATGTTTAAGTCAACTTTGTCCTTCAGTTCGCCCAGTATAGTGCTTTGATTATAGGAGGTGCTCTGGCATTATTGAATTACATTTTTTAAAAAACATAAAAATTCTAGTTCTGTGAGGGTCATAATATCATGTAATTGTATATCTCCTAATCTGTCACTGTATCTACCCCTTTTCTGTTCCCAAGATTATTTCACTGTGACTTCTCAAATCAATTTTTTATAAGTAGTGGTATTGTTTTTGGCCTTAAACCACGTCTGATGTTCTGTTTCTCTTTCTTTCGAAACAGAAACTCAGCTGTTCCCGGAGGACATTACTTGTCCTGAAAAGTGTTGAGGGATTGGATACATTTTCCCACTATTTTCACTATTTCCTCATGCCAAATAGCCTAAAGGCCTAGAGACTGTTTGCCTTTGACTTTTGACAATTTGACATTATAATGCCTCCGGGAGGACCTTCTTGGGTTGAATTTACTTGGGGAATTTTGAACTTTTCAGATCGGGATATCCACATCTCTCCACATTTGGGAAGTTTTCAGCTATTATTTTATTAAATAGTTTTTTTTTTTTTGGTCCTTTTCTTTCTATTATCCTTCTAGAATTCTCATAATAGAAAGATTTTTTCACTTAATGGTGTCCCATTAGACTGTAGAAGTTGTGGTAGCACAGTAGTAATGGTGGCACAGTTTGTGTGCCCCATTAAGGGACACCATTATTTCTTCACTCTTTTTCATCCTTCGTTTTTCTCTAATTTCAAATAACCTGTCAACAGATTTTTTTCTTCTGCTTGACCAAGTTTGCTGTTGAAGCTCTGTTGTAATTTAAAACCTTATTGAATTCTTCAGCTACAGGATTTCTATTTGATTCTTTTTTATGATTTATATTTTTTGTTGAACTTCTCGTTTGTTTTTCTGATTTTATTGAATTGTCTATGTTGTATTTTCTTGTATTTTATTCAGTTTTCTCAGGATCATTATTCTGAATTTTTTTTTGGCAATTTGTTGATTTCCTTTTTATTGGAGTCGTTACTACAGTGTTATGTTCCTTTGGTGATATCATATTTCTTTGCCTTTTCATGCTTCTTGTGTCTCCATATTGTTGTCTGTGCATCTGGTGGAACACTTACCTCCAAACTTTCCAGAGTGGTTTTTGTAGAGACAACTATCACCTGCAGTTGGGTTTTAGTGTGTCAGTTGGGAGTAGTGTGGTGACTCTGTTTCCGGATAGGTGTAGTATAGTCTCTGTGCAGGTTCTTCAGCTGAGTTCAATCTCAGCAATGACTGTGGGTACCTCAGTGGCTTGGACTGTAGAAGTTTGAGGTAGCACAGCAGCATTGGTGGCACAGTTTGTTTACGTCCTTAGAGTCAAGGAATTTTCCCATTTATGCATCACTGTATTCATTTTGTATACTATCCCATTTATACATCACTGTATTCATTTTGTAATATTTTTGTAGACATAATGCAATATGTTCTTTATTTGTAAACATATATAAAGAACATATATAAAGAACAAGTATGTTCTTCTTCTGCATAATCATGCTTCTATCTTGATTCATGTTACTTTTCTTGAACAATCCCTTCTAGTATTTCTGCTATAGCAAATCTATTGGTAACAACTTCTCTCTGCTTTTGTTCTTTGCAATGTATTGTTAATCCTTTAATTTAAGAAGATATTATTAGTGAGTATAGAAATCTGCGTTGGCAATTTATATGTTCTACTATATTTTTAGAAATAGTGTATTATTGTCTCCTTGATTCTAGAGTTTCTTTCTAGATATTTACTGTTAGCCTTATTATGGCTCTTTCGAAGATTACTAGACATTAAATTTTACAATGAGGAGACTCAGCTGGTAGGATTCCTCAGATTTGACATGACCTATAAGCAGCTGCGGTAATGCTGGGCTCGAAGTGCAGTGGCTTGTGTGGAGCCAGGGTCCTAGGCTCAGGATCTCACAAACTATAACTTTCCTTCAGTTACTTTCATTAAGATGTAATTGTTTAACCTGTTTCCTAAGGGCTTCTAGCCGCCGTGCTCTCTCTTTGTCTTCATGAGCTTCTTGAAGGACTTTTTCTCCATCAAACACTTTTCCAATAATTCTTGTCTATATTTAACCCTTTAAAAGTAACAAAGAAGGAAGTTGTGGAAGCATCATAATAATTTGGAGATTGTTCGGAAAACAGCATGGGTCAGAACACATCTCAGAGATGACGTCACTGTCACATTTTGGTTTTTTTTTTTTTTTGTTATTGATTTATCATGTCCAAACCAATAAAAGACACTTGCTTAAATGCAAAAAAGAAGTAATTGTTTATTCATTGTTCTGGTTATCTGTATGAAGAAACTAAGAGTTAGAACATTTTAGTAGTCCATCTTGCTAACATTGTCGAGATTAATGCCTTGATGAGAGGATATTAACCATCACATTGAAAGGACAGTGACATAGAGGCAATTATTTTTCAGTGTATAATTGATTTGATCCTCCTTCATATATCAAAATCATTTGATCCTCCTTCATAAATATCAAAAAGTCTATGAATTTTCCTGTGTTCTGCAATGCTGTTTGTCATAAATTATACATTTATACATGTGTATTTCTGCTTCTGGACTATGTGGTTCTGCTTTTTGTCTGCTCTTGTACCAAGTATTTCCCAATTTTAATTAGTGATACTATAAGATAAATTATGGATTATAATAACATAAATCCTAAAATTTTGTTCTTCAGGATTGTCCGGCCAATTTCTTTCTTTCTCTTTTGTTTTTTTGAGACAGAGTCATGCTTTGCCACCAGGCACCAGGCTGGAGTGCAGCAACACAATCTTGGCTCACTGCAGTCTCTGCCTCCTGGATTCAAGCAATTCTCCTGCCTCAGCTTTCCGAGTAGCTGGGACTACAGGCGCAAGCCACCATGCCCAGCTAATTTTTGTATTTTTTAGTTGAGTCAGGGTTTAACCTTGTTGGCCAAGATGGTCTTGATCTCTTGACCTCATGATCCACCCGCCTCAGGCTCCCAAAGTGTTGGGATTACAGGCGTGAGCCACCGCGCCTGGCCAATTTCTTTTAAAATACATATTACAGTTTGAAAACTAAACCAAGTGGACAAATAAGCAAACAAATTCATTGAAATATTTATTGCATTGAGTATATAGTTCAATTATAGAGAATGTTTTTAAAAGGTTATTAATTATTCCAAACCATGAACTTGGTATATCTTTTAATGTATTTATTTATTTTAAAAAGTTCTTTTGAAGGATTATCATGGTTTTATTATAGAAGTTTTGCATATCATTTGTTAGAGTTAGGTCAAAGTATTTGATATTTTGTGATGCCATTTAAAAATACAAAACTTTCAAAATTTTAATTTATTAACGTTTTTATTGTTAGTACAGAAAAATGTAATTAATTTTTAAAATTTTATTATTATTATTATTTGTAAAAACAGG